TTTCTCGTACAGAGATTCTGGATCCTGCTGAAGTAGTGGATCTTTTCTATGACTGTGTTGACACAGAACTAAAGTTCTTCAAATAAAGTAAGCAAACACTTTAATTCTTTAGATCCTGAGTTTTTGGTACCAGTGAAATATTGGATCCGATTCTGCATCTCCTCCTCTTTTACTAAGGGTGTTCAGAATCGGGTCCAAAGCCACCTTTCTACCTGCTCAAATGGTCTCCAAAGTCCCTTTTCCCTATGCTGCATTGCAGACAACTGTTTTTTCAATTTCACTCTTGCTTGGAATGGATTTTCAACGAATTTTATCTCATTTCAGCTATGGTGGCTATTGTTAGCCTTTTCACTGGAAGACTGCAATGTTCTTCAAGCCTTGAAAGAAAGTCTTCACACTTGTGAATTTGCAGAAAAAACATTTCTAGAGGAAAAAATGTTACTTGCTAGCTGTATCGGTTAACAAATTGCTTTCCTTTGTCCAATCTTGTGGTGTTTCTGTTTGTGTATGTATATAGTGAAAGGAGAAAGTCACTGACTGGTCCAATTACTGTGTGCATGCTGGCTAATTTAGTACAGAATGTTTAAACATGTATGTTGGGCAACCAATTAAAGCAAAGATTAACTTCATCAGGCTAACTTCCATATCGTTTTTGAAAGCAATCTGGTTTTCCCTCCTTTGCTCAGGACTTGCAGCAAAGCTGACTTGCATTTTTCTCTTCTTGCTAATTCATACAGAGAATGGTGGAGTTCAAATCCTGGTTTTGCAGGGAGGCAGGAGGGTAAGTCCTGGTTCTCGACCTTGTACTGGCCTCAAATGAGCATATCTGATTACAGCAATTCAGCACCTGACATAATGCCTGCACAAATTATCAGAACCAAGTCCCCCAGGTTAAGTTTTGCCTTTGCTTAGCTTAGGGCACTGGCTGCTGCGCTAGTACCAAGTACTGAAATGCAGAGCCAGCCTGGATGCCAAGATGTCTACACATCATCTATTGGCTCCTAAGATGCAATTAATAAGGTGTTGAATTTATATGCAAGCTACAAATTTGGAATTTTTTGAAGGAATGCTGGATGGACATTGATCAATACCTGGCTGTTCTCCATCTTTCTGCCTTTGTACTGCTGAACAGTTCCTAGCCATCTCTGTGGTGAGATACATGGCTGATGAATCCACTCAGTACCAGTGAGTTACTAGTGGGTGTGGCAATCCAACTGGTTAGGCTTAGAAATGGCTGTCTTATGCTTCCTTACATTAAGTGCAGTTCTGCAGCATGCTTCCCTTCCCTGACAGTCCTACAGGCAGACCTGCTTTTCATGTATTTTCTTCTTGTGGAAGTGAAATAGGGCAAACACTTTGAGAATTAAACCAGTAAACACTGCTTCCTGTGTCTGATGAAGACATTTGGGTTTTTGTTTAAACAGGAGGTTCAGACAAGTCCATGTCTTTAATAAGTGGAAGTTAGCACGTGGAGTTAAAATCCTTCACTGTTCAGGAAAGTGGATGCTGAAGAACCATGGACTTCTGTATTGAGGAAGCAAAAGCTCATTAGAAGGCAGCAACACCTCAACTTGAAACTGTAAGAGTTGTGCATCAAGGAAATAGTCATTGCCATATTGATGCACTGCATTCTCAGGATTTTCTAAATGAAATTGTTCTATTCAGACTCATTACTTTGATATTGCCTTATATGACAACTGGCAGTTGGACAAGAAAACACTGGGCCTTTTTGCTTACAGAAAACAAGCATGAAGATGTTTTTTCTTAAGTCCTACCTACTAATCTCCCATTCACAATACACTCCACCTGTGCTCTCTTTTACAGGACCAACTCCTGTGCTTAGGTATTCTGCAAGTGGAGACAAGGGAAGGAGAAAATTCACAAGTAAACCCTGAAACTTAGCTACTCTCTACCGTAGCCAGGATAGGGACTGACTACAAGGAGCACACTTCATTTCAGAGGGTATTGTGCTGGATGAAACCCTCTGAAAGAGAAGTGTGCTTTTGCCAGCTGCCTGTAAGTAAAGTAAATGGATTTCCCATGGAATCACTTCTGGAATGAGAGGGTACTTTGGATAAAAATACTCCTAATCAGAGTACACTTAACAACACCATGGTGAATTTTAAAGCTGCTTCTGCTTCTGTGAGTTGTTGCATCCAGCTGTTGGTGGATATTGTGAACAAGGGGAGAACAGGGATAAAATGACTGCCCCAGTCAGAGGGTCACTTCACACAGCTATTTTGCACAACTTGGATTCCTGACATTTGAGAGTTGAGAGGGAGGCAAGATAAAAGGTGTTCCTGCTAAAAACATAATATATCTTATTTGCCTGTTTTTTTAAGACAGAAGAAACTGACATTTGCACTTACGTTGTTGTGGGAGTTTATGTCCTTGGAAGTGCTTATATGACAGAACTAATAAATTGTTTTGAGCACAGAGATCCAGGTAGTAATTTTCTAATACTGTATTGCTTTTGTTTCAGTAGTGTAGAGCTTTTTAAAAAACATATACTGTGTTACAGCAACATAGTTGGGTGCAATCACTAGAAACCAGAACAACCCCATGGTCTTAACAATTTCAGTGGTCTTGAGCACAGCTGTGGCTCAATAGGATTTGTGGGACAATTGCTGTAGGGTGACAGTCAGTTGTGATTCTTTGTATCTCCAGGTAACAGCAACTCCAGAAGCTTCAATGGATCTTGAATGATACAAATATGGAAATACCATTTCACCAATGCTTGCAAATATGCACAGGATTTCTAATTTAATCTCTGAAAGATGTTGCTTGCTTCTAAAATACCTGAAGCATAACAAAAATGAATTTTTTTCTTCTTCAAATATCTTCTGGAAGATAGTCTAGCATTAAATAGTTTTAAAATCCCTATGAAGTTACTTATTACAGAGCAGTACACAAGTTTCAGAACAAGTGAGAACCAACAAAACGTCACCTTTAATAGTACTATAACAAAATAGTCTTTAAAGCACTATTAAACTTTTCCAGTTGTTTGAGAAGCAATGTATATGCAGACCCCTGCTTATTACTGCATTCATGCATATTTATCAAGTAACTACAATAATGACAATGACAGTATTGCTCAAAGCATCACCAATTTTTTTTTTCTTTTCCCATGATGTACAGCAAGGTATCATAATAGGCTAGAAAAAGACTAATGCTGCTTTCTTATAGTCCTACAGGTGAAGTGCTTTTTACTCTTACACAATCTCACACCATGAACCTATGTGTGTGGAAATAAAGTTACAGCACAACTGAGCTGCTACAAGAGAAAAGCAGAGATATATAAAGCTGCAGTTACTTGTCTTTTCCAAATAGTTTTGTTCAAAGGCAACACCATGGGGAAAGATCACCTGTGATCTATAACATTATTACAGCTGTAAATGAGGGGAATTGGTGGCAATTATATAAATTATTGCCATAACTGTAAATAGCCTTGCTGTTGGCACCAGACTCACCCTGGAACAGCAGTGTCCTTTCTCAAGTTGGTGAGTCATGGAATCATATAGGTTGGAAAAAACTTTGAGATCATCGAGTTCAACTGTTATCCAGCACTGCCAAATCCACCACTAAACCATGTCCCCAAGTGCCACATCTACACATCTTTTAAATACCTCCACGTATTTAAGTGGTGACTCCACCACTTCCCTGGGAAGCCTGTTCCAATGCCTGACCACCCTTTGAAGTTTTTCCTAATATCCAATCTAAACCTTTCCTGGCACAGCTTGAGGCCATTTCCTCTTGTCCTGTGGCTTGTTACTTGAGAGATGTGACTAACCTCCAATATCACTACAGCCTTCTTTCAGGTTATAGCAATAAGGTCTTCCCTGAGCCTCAAGTCAGGATGCTCTTGGCCTTCTTGGCCACCTGGGCACACTGCTGGCTCATGTTCAGCCAGTTCTCAATGAGCACTCCCTGGTCCTTTTGTGCCAGGCAGCTTTCCAGCCACTCTGCTCCAAGCCTGTAGTACTGCATGGGGTTATTGTGACCCAGGTGTAGGAACTCAGAAAAACTGTAAAAGGGGGAATCAGTGTTTGAGGTTGAAAGGGATGGCTGGAGTTCATCTAGTCCAACCTCCTTGCTCTAGCAGGTCAGCTAGTGCCAGTTGCCATGGACTAAGTACAGATAGTTTTTGAGTATCTTTAGGAGTGAGGCTCTACAATGTCACTGACCAACCTGTGCCAGTGCTCAGTCACCTTCACAATTAAAAAATGTTTCCTATGTTCAGCCAGAGCCTCCTCTGTTGCAGCTGGTGCCCATTGCCTCTCATCCTGTCACTGGGCATCACTGAAAAGAGACTGGCTCCCTCTTTATACCATCCCTTCAGGTACTTATACACATTGAAGAGGTCCCCTCTGAGCCTTCTCTTTTCTAGGCTGAATAGCCCCAGTTTTCTGAGCCTTTCCTCATAGGAGAGATGCTCCAGTCCTTTCATCACCTTTGTAGGACTCTCACTAGTATGGCCATGTCTCCCTTGCACTGGGGAGCCCAGAAGCTGGACACAACACTCCAGGTGTGGCCTCACCAGTGCTGAGTAGAGGGAAAGGATCACCTCCCTCAATCTGGCACCACGCCTCCTAATGCAGTGAAATGCACAGGAGCAAGTGTAATTCTTGTGAGAAATAAACATCTTAGGAGCAGATCTGAACATCTGTGATCCAAGGACCTTACCCCTAGCTATATATTAAAAGCAGAAGTTGAAGTCTTGTCTGCTGCTAGGTTGTTACTTTTCCCAACCAACTTTATTCAAGACAACCACTTTGGGGACTGCTTGTTCCATGTGGTGTGTTTTGGACAATGAATCCTACAGTAGTTCTAGTTGCCTGTTTAAAATGTGGGTTTTGGACCTCTCATCCAATGGCTTCAAAATTGCTGAGTAAAGGCAAACTCTCACAGGAATGTGACAGTAAATAATCACTTTGCCAGCAGGAAAAGACAGGACACGTGCCCTTACATACATACATCGTGGCATATGTATTCACACACACCTTTTTTTTTTTTTTTTTTGCTTACAATATAGCAACTTTCTTTTCCTCTACTTTGCAGAAGTTCTGTCATCTTTGTCAAATCCATGACCACCCTACCCAGGCTGGTCTTCTTCAGACACTATCCTATAAGGATCTGTAATCAGTAGGAGATAGGCTCAACAGCAGCCACAGCTCCTTGTCATCTCCTCTTCATGCTTGATGAGAGAAGGATTGTGGGCCTGTCCCTTCATGAAAGTGAGATCCTGCTGCAATCTGAGGATAGGCCGGATAGAAGCGAAGGAACATAAAAACAGACTAAAGGTAGTACATTAGTTTGACAGTTCATTGAAAAAATGTCTGAATAATAACTGGAGAATTTCCAAAATACTTAAAAATTATGATGAAAGGGGAAAAAAGAAATACAGGCATGTAATGCAAAACATTCTGAGATAACACTGTCAGCATGATAAGAATGAGAATTGTTTCAACACTACAAAGAACTTAAATTTTATGCTGCTTTGCTTAAAAAATATCCACCTATTTACAATAATTTAAAAGCCTGTACTAACATTCCTGTAGTATGTAGGCCAGCTAAAAAGGTATCATTTACACCATTTTTCCAGTTCATAGAAATGTTTACATTGCAGTACTTGTGACTCAAATACAATCACTATCACTGCAATGGGGACCCCTTCTGTTTTATATATTATCTTGATGTTCTTTTTTAATACTCTTCCAGAGAGCATCAGCAGACTCTTCTCATCTCACATGTGTTCTTAATGGAGGATTTTTAGAAGGATCTGTAAATAGATAGGACAGATTTAATCAGAGGAGATAAGATATATTTTTTTTGGATAGGTATTTTGGATGCAGTTATACATCAGGGATGCTGAATTTATCTGCTACCTCTGATGTGAGATAGATATATATATATTTACAGACAGACAGACAGACACAAACATATTGCTCATGTTCTGTAGCCCTTCAGTAACAAGTCTTTGATCAGATCAGATCATACATCAGACAATTCAGACTGACTGAGGCTGTCAAGTCATGCAAAATACCTTAGCACGGAAACAAACAAACAGGTTAATTAAAAGTTGGAGATAAACAGTTGATCTAATAATACAGAATAGTAGGTTTTATAAAAAGCAGAATATGAGCATGAGATCTTTTGGCACCTTCAACTACCCACTGTCAAAGCTGGATAGGTGAACTTCTGTTCTTACAACAGTGAACTGGTGCCATGTTTCTAAGTTACAGGGGGAGAAGTAAAAAGCAAGGTTCAGCCATTTATCACTTTCCTGACAAGGTTCAAGTACTAAGTCCCTTTGTTACTACCACGCATAGGATTTAAATCAAAACACACGATGGAAGACATGGATAGAGTCACTTTCTTTTTGTGATTTCACAAGTTAATGAACAAAAAACCCAACTCAGTAGATGGCCAAGTCTGTTTTACAGCATCACTGTTTTTAACATCAAGGGCTTTGCAAATTCAGCACTCTAAAAAATTGAGGCTGCCTGTCCAGCCACATTTTATTTTTAGCTACTAAGTCTTTAAAGTAATTAATTAAGTGCTTTTCGTTATATCTTTGGTCTCTGTTGCCACTGTGACAAATCCCATTTCTCTCTGTGCCTATGCTAGCAGCCCAGTTACTTTAATGCTAGTTCTGTTCTTTATTTTCCCTCCCCATTTTTAATCCTCTTGATAATTATCAGATCTTTTCATGTTTACACACTTACCTCTAGCTATCTTGCTGGGATATATTTTCTGAAATGGCTTGAATTCATCAGGTGGGGGAAAATCTTCCACAGAATGGAAAGTAAATTTAGATTCAAAGTCATCTGGAGAGTTTCAGGGAAGTAAACATTAGTTGCTGTTAAAAAGAAACTTTAAAAAACCCCACCAAAACCCAACAATGTTGCTGCAAGTAATTTCAGTTAAAAATGCTGACTTGTTTTCTCCTGGAACTGATACTGGTTCATTCCATATAAACCATCTTGATGAGTACTTCTGTGAGCTGTCCAAATTTTCTGCCTTTATTGAAATTACTGCCTGCTACTAAGACTGAAGTTAAGCTGCTGCTTCTTCCAGTTTTGTGCATTGATGGTATTGTGGCAATAGAGGTATTCCTTGGTGGGTTTTAAGCCACTTAGCTATAAACAAGAATGAATGGCCAATTCATCAGACCACAAAAATAATTCTTACTGGTCTTTGCTCTGTAGGTCCATGACCCGGTTTAAAGAATGGTAATATAAGCACATTGTGGGAACTTTTCATATTCTTAAATAATTTTGCAGGTGATATGTGCTTTTCTTTTCTACTGACTGATTCAAAGCCTTTGTGAAAAAACCTTAATTTTGTATCACTGTATAAGGTTGTACAAAAATGTTTCTATTACACAACCCTGCTATTGCTAGGAGAAAGTCTCAAGTGAGGTTTTGAGGTGTGAGACACAGACAGGCCTTTGTACTAAAATTATTAAATAAGGCTAAGAGATCTAATTTAGATGATATTACCAATGATGTGCATATTTCCATTTTTGAGTGGTGGGTAGGGGTCATGAGCTGTAGCCCAGGCTGAGACTCCAGACTTGCTCGTAAGTTCAGTTGTTGGGGATCTTGCTGGTGGTTGTGGAGGTGTGACCAGCTTCCCAGCACCAGTTCCTTAAAAAGAAGCAGGAAACCAGCACATAAACATCATCATGACCTACACCTGACAGTAAACTTTGCAAAAAATTGAGGGAGTATAGAAGGAATGCAATATTTGGGGCGAACACACCCAGCTTCATAGCTCCTGTTTGTCAAGCCTGCAAATGGATTTATAGCATTAAGTATTAAATTTAAGTCAATATTGGAGTTGGCTTGGGCTTTCCATTTCTAGTTCTAGGGAAAGCGTGACATTCTGAAGTGTGGTTTTGTCCCAGTCTGGAAGGGACACAAAAACAAGCAGTTTCTTTAAGAAAAGAAAATCAACAAAACAATCAAACTAAATGGTATGTCTAAAAGAAAATAATTTCCTGACACTTTGGCACTTATGCAGTGGAATTACAATTAGGCTTGTGCATTTCACTGAGGAGCTGCAAGTGCTGTCGAAGTTTACATCGAGTCAACCTACAACCAGAATTGTGTAAGAGGGAGGGAGCCCAAGGCCTCCAAATTAGCAGCCTCTCAAAACTGCTCCTCCTTCTAGATAAGCAAGGCAAAGGCAGAATAATTTTATGGAAACTGCAAAAGTTGAACCACCATGAGAAATGGGGGTCTTGATGAAGTAACAGTTCATCAGACAGTTCTGAGCAGCATTAATCACCATCACAGAGCACCTCATCTGCTCTACTTACACGGCCTTTCGCATGGCTCTCAATGGAACCAGTAATCTTTCTTCTGATGTGGCTGCTAAAATATAGGGTACAGAACATTCTCTTCAAATGTTCCTTATTAAGTAGCTGTCTCCATTTCTCAAACCCACACAGATCTAGGCTCATCTTTTTTTATCATCTTCATGACATCAGAGAAATATGATAAAAGTTCCTTCTACCATCTGCTCAAGGAAACACTGGCTAATACCCCAGTTCCCAAGTAGTCAGAGAAACCTTTGGCCCTTTCACCTTGATCATGGGAGGCACTGGCTGTTCCTGTTTGCTGAACAGCAGGGCTGCATAATGATTTGCTTTTGCTCATCTATGGCTGTAGCTGCCCCATCTTTGTTTAATTATCTCTTATGAATCTTCCCAGCTGTTGCCAATATTGCTCCTGCTGTAGAGGAATGTCCTGAGTTAGCTGACACACAAGCAGCCACCATCCTGGCAAACACAATGGTGTGTACTCTGCTGCCCTACCTGAGCTTGTCAGGATACCACTTGTGCAGCTGGAGACACACCAAAAGCAAGAAGCAACTCAGTGGTCCTATAACTCTGGATCAGTATGTCACTTCCAAGAATTGCAGACTGAATTAAAAGACGTGTGTGCCCAGTGCTAAGAACAACCTGACAGCTCAAAAAGCCTGATGTTTTGGATGTTCATGACATGCCGTGTAACCTACAGGTATTCCTCCCATGAGTGCTCTTCACTCCCACCCCACCGAGCCATCCAGTCACCAGTGCCATAGAATGGTTTGGGTTGGAAGGGGACCTTGAAGAACTAGATCATCCTCAAGGTCCCCTTCCAACACGAACCATTCTATGATGTCTCCCAGTTTTGCCAAAGGGAGCAAAAAGCCTCCCTCCTCCCGACGTGCTGCTCTCACCTGCGCCTCGGCCCGGTCTCTTCTTCCTGGTCTCTGTCCCGGCTGCGGGCTGAGGGTGGCCGGGGGTGGGTGGGAGCGGCAGCGACTGAATGCTGCTTGGCTTATGGAACTGTGACAGCAAGTGGGGAGACTTGGGGGGCAGCGGAGGGGGCACGTCAGCACCGCTAAAGGCTGGGGAGGGGGGAAAGGAGAGCCTGTTCGCGGGCACCGGGTGGGCGTGGGGCGGCGGAGGAGGGGGCGGAGGTGGCGTGGGAGGGGGACAGTCCCTCCCTTCGGCTGGAGGGGCGGTAGGCGCCGGGACATCGGCAGTCCTGGCCGGCAGCCCGCAGGGGGGGACGAGGGGCAGCGGAGGGGGAGGAGGAGGAGGAGGAGGAGGGGGCGGTTGGGGGGGGTGTGAAGCGCCTGCTGGAGACTTGGCGGGTTTGTCAGCCTGGGGAGGAGGGAGCGGGGGCGGAGGAGCCGCGCCAGGCGTCACCCCCTTGGGCGGGCGATCGGCCGGAGGAGGGAGAGGGGGAGGAGGAGGGAAAGTGAGGGAAGGTTTGCTGGAAGCGGGAGGCGGTGGAGGGGGGGCGGGCAGGCTGGGCCGCCCGGGGCCGGCTCCGGTTCCGGCTCCCGCTGCGGCTCGGGAGGTGCTGGGAGGCTCTGGTGGCACAGCTGCCCTTGGACCTTCGGCTGGGTGCGAGGGGTTACTGCTCGGCTTGGCAGCGCCGCTGTTCGCTGGGGCGGAGTGTTTGGGGGCCGCTGCTCGGACTCCGGAAACCTGCCCAGGCCTCCCTGCTGAAGACAGGATGTCACACGTTATCCTGCAGGACCGCGTTCCCACTCGTCAGACAAAATAGCGCAAAGAGCAAGGTCTTCGTCTTCCCCTCCCCGGTGGATACCCTAAGGGGTTAAACTAATTCTTCCAAAACATCTCGTATCCAACAGGTTGCCCTTGGTGTAATGGGGCTTAGGATGTGACGTACTCCAATGGGCACAAGGGCACAAGGGATTCTGCTTAGTTATATGACGAACTGCTGAGAGACCCTAGCCCCCTCCCTCTTCTTCAGTTTCTGCAAAATGAAACAGTTTAAGGAAAAGGGGCTTCTCTGCAGAGATCTGGAGTCCTTCACACCAGCCTCATCTGTCTAGTACTGAGCATTGCTGAGTCCTGGTGAAAAGGTAGTTTGACACACATCATATTGCATCCTTGAAATTAAGTGATTGCTTAGGATTAAAAAATTCACATAAACTTTACATAAATCTCAACCCCATGAACAAAAGCCAAGCTCTTCAAAGCAATGCCTCAAAGGCTTTCCAGGAGGCACACGTTCAAATATTTTCAACAGCAAATGCCCAAAGACTGTTGACTCTACAAAATGTATTTTCCTGAGTAAATGCCAAGGATTTATCACAAAGCAAGATGTCAAAAAAGGTGTCTCATTCTATATCACATAGTCTGATAGGCATGGCCACAATTTTAAAAACAACTCAAAGTAGCTGCTGCAGCTGAAGCTTTGGAGGAAGCCCTATAACATGCAGTGCTGTGCATCTTGGGCTTGCCTTCCAGGAGAAAAAACCCTGCTGGCAGAACCAAAGTCTTTCCTTGCAAAGCTTTGCTCTGTGCTGCCTGATCAGGCACCAGCTGCCCAACAGCACCAGAGGTCATCACTGTGACTCGTAACAGTCACCCCTCATTGAAGCTGGCACTTCTTGAGGGAAAAGGAACAGTAGGGCTCCCACAGTTGCCTTCCTCCTGTCATTGTGAAGCAACAAAACCCTTTTTCAGGTCAATAAATAACCTTGCTGGATCAAAACTATACTTTGTAAAGTCCAGAGGGCAAAAATCTTAAATACGAATCTTTAAAGTAACAACCAAGACTGTAATACCACAGAAATACGTGCTAATAGAGGGAAGGAAATATGACTTTGCCATTTGTGCTGAACTGATAAGCTCAGATTTCAACACTCTGAGGCACAATTAGAAGTTTTCATTAAAATAATGTAAAAAGCTCGGTTAAAGAGATCTATTCAATCTCTTTCCTACCCAGTGTGGAAAAAGCTTTTTATTTCCAATTTAACAAATAAGGCACCTGAGATCTAGAAAGATGGCTTCAAGCATGTTACTAATTGAGCCCTCCGTGGTCACATGATGAACTAAAGATTCAGGAAAAAAAAAAAACAAAACAAAAAAACCCAATAAAAATCAATCACTAAAGCTAACCCCAAAGTGGTTTTATCCCAAATCACTGCTCCCCTCAGCTATGCTTTCATACAAATGAAGTCCTTACCTGTCATGTCCCTCTGGCCTGCTGGTCTGAGAACAGGAAAGCCACCAGCAAATAAACCTCCCAAAGGCTGCTGAGAGCCACCTTTATTGACGGCTGGATTAACTCCATCTCTATTAGCTCCTTTGGGTTCTGTTAAAAAGAACCAAAACACAGGGTATATCAGAAAAATCATTTAATCCTTGCCCTGAGACTGCTAAGGCTTGGCACCAAAACGGCCAAGGCCAGGCTTTTCCCTCTACTGTTACTACAGTAACTACCATCACTCTTGGACCTGTAATTTGGAGCACAGCACCCTCTGGTGCTCTTTAATCTCACATTAATCATGACACCAAGAAGAAGAAGAAGAAGAAGTGTTAGGCCTAGCATTAAATTTATGTTTCCAAAATTTTTTGGCAATTTTTTTTCTTTTAATCTAGTAAAGAACTTTTTTTCTGCAAGAGCCAACAATTCTTGTTTAATTTTTTTATTGAGAAACTCTCAAGGATTTAATCATTCATGATTTTTTATTTTTTTTGACAAGGAGTGCCTGTTAAGGAGATATCCAGCTACAGACTTACCAGGAAATGTTAATAGTTACTGATCTCAGAGCAGGATGCAAGCTTAGAGAGTGTCCCCTCTCGGCATCCTAAAGCCATATGAAGATACAGACCTTTGCTGAACTTCAAACCTTCAGTGTGAAACTGTCCAGCTGATCTCCACCCGCACCTGAGGCTTCAGCGAAGCTCACTCAGGCCTTGCTGAGGAGCACATACTTACTTTCAATCTGTGGTGCACTGCGGTCATTGATTTGAGTCACTTTTCTTAAGCGAGTTCCCTGCTGGATATCAGCCAAGAGTGCGTTTCGTGCTTTCTGATCTTCCTTCCGCAATTTTGGTACTTCTGAACTAGCCTGTTGACAGTAAGAGCATTAAATAGGAGGTGCAGACAAAAATTCACGCTTAGAAAGGATACACAGGCAAACATGGGATAGAAAATTTGAAATAAACCACTCTTGGCAGCTGGCACTTCAAAGCCTTTGAGTTCAATCAAGAAGAACAGCATTCACTTGTGCAGGAGGCAGAAAAGCTGAAGGTTTAAATATAACAAAAATCTAATACTAGCTGGGCTAATACTGTTGATATTAGGGGCCTCACTTAAATGAAATGTGACCTCCTACTTTGGCCATTTATGGCCTCTGTCCTACAACTCCAGCTCTCAGCTCTTTTCATGCTATTTACAGTGGTTTAAACAGAGATTTTACATGCCACATTAGAATAAATATGTTTTATCCACTTAGGATAGCCTTAGGAAAAAAGACAGATAAATGCATACTGCTTTTATATTTGAATGTGATCATTAATTAATTTAGACTGTCTCTCTGTATTGGAGATTCACACCATCTTAAGCAGACTGCCTTTAGAACAATATAATTATATTTTCTGCCCTAACCAAGCTCCACAGACGTAAATTCAAGTTGCAGTTTAAAGTTTTGTAATAAAACCACAAATTATGTTTATTCTTTATTCTTATTTCATCAAGTTTCTTGTTACTAAAAAGGAAATAAATCAGATATTTAAAAAATTTGGACGTTTCACTTTCTTGAAGCAGATATTAACCAGCAAAGCTGTTACTTCTAAACCTATCGTGGCTGACAGAGTGGCCTAGCAGAGGGGAATCTTCACCTCAGACAAGTGATATGCTGCTTGCTTCCAAAATTCCCAGAGGTTAGCTAACTTCCTAAAGAGAGTGAATACCAGAAATGTTTCCATAGCCCTTAATTTTAGCATCATAGTCCTAATAAAGCAGAACAATACTAACACACTTTAAAACAAACAAACAAAAAGACCCCCAGCTTGGTAATGGCATTATGAAAGCAAAACAGAAACTCGAAAACACTTAACCAGCTGCTGAATTAATGAAGTGTCTAACTGGCTAATCCTAAATGAAGTATTCTATCGGTACGATATTGTTCGTGGTTATTTTTTGTACTTGCTAAAAAAAAAATAAAATAAAAACCCCCAACCGAATCCAAACCCGAGCAAGCAGGATTTGCCGCGCCCCGCTAGATGGAGCTGCAGACCGCCGCTAACGCCGCCGCATTCCCGAGCCGTGATGTAAAAACTCGGAATTATAACCTGACTGATATGTAACTATGTGTTATTTTAAAATATTAGGAAAATCCCCACTCTGTTACATAGTTTCCTCGTTTGAAACAGCGCTGGCTGCCCTTGTACTTTCAGGACAGCGAGTCCCGCTGCCTATTAAGACGCCCCAGAAAAGCTGCCCGTGTCAGCAGCATTAGACCATGTACCAGCCAGAAACCATTTCCACTCCCATTCTCTGGAAGCTAACAATACTTACTGTGAAAAATGGAAATACCATAACTGGAACAAGGGTGATTCCCTTCCTCACAAAAGTTCTTTATCAGTATCTTCAACTTCGCGCCTCTCTACTACCATTAGCGACTTTGCTGCAGCAGGACAAGCAGGATCTAGAGCAATCTGACCAAGACCTATGTTTAAAATTAGATCCAGCAGCTGTCTTTTCGTTTCCAGGTTCAAGTGTCCATATATTATGCCAGCTGTCCATTTCACCTCCCTGATCCACTTCTCTGAGCAAACAGACTATTGGAATATAAAGTCTTGATATCCAAACAGTTACTAGGCTAAAATAGCCCACTTGTGGCAACTTACCTTTGCAAGTGACCCATGACTTGGTATCAATTTGACATGGTTAAGACATTCATTGTTTCACAATTTGTAGCATAAAAAAGCAGGAATACTATTCTGCTGGTGCATAATGCAGCGTAACAAGCTGCCTTTCTCTTACAATAGATCCCCTTACTCCAAGCATAACTCCATCCTATGCTCTTCATGAAGGTAAGAGATAGAATCTTGCAAGGCCAGCCTGGCGGACTCAGGTGATTGATCAGCTGCTGAGTAGCTCAATACGGATTCTCTTTTTCCATTACGAAGTCAAGGTGGCCTGGAGTGCAGCGTTGCCTGGCTGCACACTGGTCAGAGGCCCTTCAGACTTCTTGTTTGCTGCCTGCACTCCCAAGGCAGTGACAATCCTTGTCAAAAATCGTTTCACCAGGTAAGCATCTCAGTCATTCACCTACTGGTGTCCTGTGTTTGCAAATTTCTGTTTTTACCATATTGCTTTTTGATACACAATCAGAAAGAGACCTTCCTTCCTTTGATGGAGAAATAAATCTAGGATTCATGCTCGTGCTGTGCTTTCAATCCATAGCACCAGAACAGACAATAAACGTGTAAGTTCTTCATCAAGAGAAAAACAGAAAGAAGAACTCTTATGGCAGTCAAATCTTCAGTCCCTATCACAAGCAATAGAAGTGTTTCAGCAGGAAGACAAATATACTTTGAGAGTAAAAACAGCTGTAAGACAAAAGATGTAATTCTTAGTCTACTTTCTACCCCACCATCTGCAGGGCAGCCTCATTTGTTTACAAAAAGAGAAACATCTCAGTATTTCAATGAAATTCAGAAAGGAAGAGGATAAGAATGTGAGGATAATTTTTTTATCAGATGCCAGAGCTGCCTCAGGTAACACAGAGTGAAATTAAATTCCGTACTTTACTTACATGAATTGGTAAGGGAACGGTGGGTTCTCATTACCTTAGCAACCACTAGGTTATTCTGCTACTATTTCAGACATAAAGAACGTCATGTTCGATACGTACTTAGAAACAGAACTGAACAAACCACGCATGTAAATTGCCCGAACATAAGAGAACTACTTCCTTTTCATCTCACCCAACTCCACTACGTTTTGTCTTCAGTGGCCTAACTTACACACTCAGCTATGCCATTCAGTAAAGTATAAGATCAATGCTTAGGCTATCTGTCAGATCTCCAAAGTACCTGCAAACAGGAAAATACCATGAAATCACAATATTTAGAGTGATGTTTCAGAGTGTAAATCCCAATGGTTTTTCCATCATTCCAATGATGGAAATACACATTTCAAAATTTGGAGCAGAGAAATGAATCAGGACAGCACGATTATACAGAGAAATCTAAATCACTCCAGCTTGAGGCCATCTGAAAGGAACAACAAACCAAAACATGCTCCTCCACTGCTGGGACGGCGTGAGCGGGGCAGGTGGGGAAGAAAAGAAATAAAAAAGAAGTTGCACAATAACACAATATACAAATGTCAAATGTAAAACTGAAAAAAACCCTGGATGACAGGTTCTAGCCACATCTCTGAAATGAAAGCCTGCATCCGAAGTGCCACAAGCCTGAACCTGGCAGGGGGCTCCAGCAGTGAGCCTGCTTGAGCAAGTGTGGCAAGGAGGGGTAACACGCTCCTCCAATATATCTCATCCTTTCAGAAAAAGCAGTGTGAGCAAAAATGGAATTAAAAGTTCAGTTCTGGTCTACAGGTCTTTAAAATTACATTGTGAAATCCTGGAGATGCACAAGAAAGAGCTAAAACAGTATTCAAAACCCTGGAGGCAGCAGCTCTGATTTTAGCAGCCCTGAAGTCTATCTGAGGGGTGGTCCGCCTGCACAACACAACTTGTACAGGGAGATGGTGGTGAGGACTCAGTCAGCAGAGGCAGGTATTTGGTGAATTAATGCAAGATGCAACCAGACAAGCTGCAAATGGCAGCAGAATATAGATCTCCTGATTTTCAGATCAAGGCTGGATCCTCTGGCAGAAATGCTTTTTGTGAAGCACAAGGCGCTGGGCCCTGTACAGGTGTTGCTGACATGCAGTACCCTGCAGTGGGGGTGGAGGAGTGGGGGGTCACAGCCAGTGGTTTGTAACAGCTTCTTCCAGTTAGGAGTTCTGTGAAAATGGATCGTTTTGTTTAAAAAAACAACTCTGTATTTTTACACTGTATGGACCACTCAAGGTTTGCCCTTGAATAATCACACTCTTAACACCCTAAATTGAGTTCTATCAGACAAATTAAGAACTGAGAGACTTTTTTAAGGAAAATTAACTGAAATCCATGGCAATGAGCTCCATTTCTAGGTACACTCTGCTGTGATATTTGTGTCACATTCAGAATGTCACTTTACATCTTCCAAGACAGATGGGAGCACTGACCTACCCTTTGGGCTCCTGCGATACTTAAAATATTCAAAAGGTATATGTGCTCAGATACTAAAATGCTGTGAATGCAGAAGACACCAGCCATTTGAAAAAATTTATACTAGCACTAAGTATTGTCTTCAGATTTTAAAGAGTACCTCTGCACACAGTAAAGGGGAAATCCTCTGGACTCTGGGCAGGTAGTTCAGATTGCAATGGATACCTGCACTGTCCCATAAATGAGTTTTATTTACTCTGATTTTTAAATATGATCTTTAATGAATTTGTAGAACACTTTAAGGCAGATCTTCATAAACATGATAACTGCAGCAAAAATGTACCTCTAGCCTTCTGGACAATCCAATAGCCAAGGAAGTATTGGTCTTTGTTTCAGAATAATCCTATAAGCTGATGGGAGAAGAGGATCCAGTACTCTAGCTCTAACATAGGAGGAGCCATAAATAAGAAAATAAAGCATGATTCCATTCAAAGGCATTACATACTCTTTTACTCAGAGAACTGAATAATACTGAATATTTATACTGCTAATAATTTATTCTTTTATCTGAACTAGGTAAGAAAAACTAAAACAAAATAAATCGAAATACATTTAGCTTATCCCTAACTATCTATTTGACGAGACACATAATGAAAAAATTAAAAACCTATCAATTTGACATCGGCATTTATTATGGGCAGAAAGAGAGCTCTCTCTTTTGCTGATGATTTTAATTATTTCTGTGAATCTCATGGCAATCACCCTTCCTTTCTCCAGTCACCAATTTTTCTCCCCTACATGACAACAACAACAAAAGAATTTAATGCAGAGATCAAGCACAGATA